TGGGTGGTGCTAATTTGTCATGGAGATATCATCCATATCATGACGGACGAGCACTTCGGCAACTGCCAGCATGATACGTACGAGTATGCTGAGCTGTGCAGGACGGTCAAGTACAAGAGAGGGCAGTTTGCAGAGGCAGACGAGGCCGTGAGGCTCTTACCTCTCTCCCTCTCTCTCTCTCTCTCTGTGTGTGTGTGTGTGTGTGTAGTGGGCTGCGGACTTTTGCTGTGTCCTCATGTCGAGTAGCAGGATGGAGAATGTGCCATCGCTGCTGCGCTCGCCGACGGCCACGACCTCCGTGACGCTCCTCTTGCCCGTCAACTCCAACGCGTGAATCCAACGATCTACACCCACATCGCATCCACACACGCGTGAGGACCACATCATGCGTGGGGGTGGGACATCCATCCCCCCTTCCCCAATCCGCCCCTTGATTGATTGACTGACTGACCTTGTGTGATGTGTGGTTGGAACCTGAGGTCTTCACCGCTCATCAGATCCCACAGGCCGATGCCCGCTGATATACAGATGGACGGATGGATGGATGGAATGAGAGGCGTCAGAGGATATGGTGTGTGTGGTGTGGTTGTCTGTGTGTGTGTGTGTGTGACCAGGGAATCGTCTGGCGGTTTTGACCGATATGATGCACTTCTCGCGGCTGATGCGCAGATCGTTGACCTCCACATCACGACTGTATATGGCCGCACACACGCATACAAACACACCCACACACACGTGAAAACAGAGAGAGAGGGACATCCATCAGTTGACGCACCCGCAAGGGCAAGTGTGTGTGTGTGTTTGGTTGGGCGAATGCAATGCCTACGTGTGTTTGCGCGCCTGTTCCCTGAACGAGTTGCGGTTGTAAATGCGGATCGTCCCGCCGTCGTCACCCGCAGCAAACATCTCAGAATCAACTGCACCACACACACACACGCTTATTGTGGTGTTTTGTGTGTATACGAATGGCCGGTGTCAGTCAGTTGTATATCATACTATCGAGGCAGTTGAACCCCGGTGAGGCCATGCAGACCGACGACACCTCCTGGCGGCTCTCGCGATCGAACACCTTCACCCAGGCCTCCCCGCTGTTGGCACGACTGAACCAACCAACATACAAACAAACCAACAAAGCATTCTCCCGCCCCCTAGCCTCCTCTCTCTGCTGGTTAAGGGATGCATCGCATCCTCCGTGTCTGTTTGTCTGTGTGTTTGTACCGTTCGGTGACTGCGAAGATGTGTCGTTGGTCGAAGCGCAGGTCCATGATGGTGACGTATGGCGGGGCCGCCACCAGCCGCTTGACGCTGAACTTGGGGCCCTGCACGCGACGACCGCCCACACGACACGGATACCAACCGTTGCTGCATATCATCACACACACACACACTCACTACTGGGGGGTGAGGAGAATGCACTTCTTGATAGATAGGAAGTGCACCGCACCTGTCAGCGTACAGGAACTTCCACTTGTCGCCGTATCCCTTGGTGTTGAGGAGGCTCCTGTCGTACTTGGCCTCACAGATGCGCCGCCACAGACCCGGGTGGTCACACAGGTCACGCCAACCTGCAGCATCACCCAGCACACACACACACATCCACTGCAAATGCCGCCCTCTGTGGCCAGAGTGAGCCGCCCGATCGTCATGTGACGCATTCCTGCCCCCTTACGCCTGCAAGTGGTCCTCGGAGCGGTCAGCAGCGTCGGCCTGAGGGAGTACATGGTCTCCACGAAGAGACCGTCGGGAAACTGCGAGAAGGCCGACTGGGCGCTGCCGTCGTTGGCCACGTGAGGGACGGTGATGTCCATGGGCGTGCTCTGAGCCGCGCTGGAGGCCTCCATGGGCTCTGCGGGCCTCGGCCGCCGCCGCGGCGGATTCCTCCTCATTCAACTCCACTCAACTCACCGAAATGCAACAAAATGCGATGGCTCATGAATGGCGATGCTCCCACGCCCCTTTATGGATGCATTGTCGCGGTGGGCTGAGACAATCTCATGTTTTGGGGCGAGTGTCTGTTTTACGACACAGATCTCCCACCTCTCCCTCTTAGATGTCTGTGTGACGGCAGGAGCAGGTCATGCTCAATACGAAAGATGCGCTCTTGAAAGGCCTCCAGCAGGATCATCTGAAGGGCAAGGCCCTGCTGGAGCAGTTTCAACAGCTTCGAGAGGCGAACAAGGACGACTACGTTGCATTTGAGGCCGTGTTTGTGGAGCTGCGGCAGCTGCTGCATCAGGAGGCGGCCCTGCTGAGCTCTCTTGCTTCAAAAGCACAGCAGTCCCTCGACAGCTGCCTGCAGCAAGGACCAGGACCTACTGAAAGGGCCATCTTCAGAGGCCTGACGAGGCAGCAAGTGGACGAGTACGTCAGCCATCGTGAGTGCTGCGACCTGGTTGAGAAAGACCTGCAACTGAAGGGCCGCCTCGTCAACGAATTGTCTTACAGCTCCACTGCTGACGAAATCGCCCGCTCGGCCGTCATCTGGGACAGCAGCGTCTATCGCAAGACTCTGAGCAGCCTGTCCCACAGGACTGCCTGACTGTCAGTCATGGCGCCTCGCAAGGTGACGCTTCTGCGGCACGCTCAGAGCACTTGGAATGCGGCCATCGCTGCGCACCTGAGGGCGCATCCGGAGGACCGCGGGAGACCTTCCGAGGATCTTCCTGACCCGATGCTCTTTGATGCAGACCTGACAGAGGAAGGGTGGGAGCAGGTGTGTGGAGGGCAGGCAGGCAGGCAGGAAGGTAAAGGAAAAAAGATAGCCACGCCTGCTCATCTCTCCCTCTGTGGTTGTGCTGTGTGGCTGGGTGTGTGTACATGCGTGCCGTGCAGGCATTTAGTGCGGCCGGGCCATTGTTCGTGTATGGAGCTTCCAAGCCGGACCTCATCGTGTCGTCCCCCTTCACCAGGACACTCATCACATTGCAATGCGCCCTGAAGGCAATGGAGGGCGAGTGGGATTTGCCACCCCCCGTGGTCGTCCAGCCGGACCTCCGCGAGCGCCTCACGGCCAGCTGCGACATCGGCCGGCCGCTGCACGAGCTGAAGAAGGCACTCCACCTCGCCAACCCTCAGATCCTCTTGGCTCTTGAGGCTTCAGCGTGCCACTTCAGCAATCCCGAATGCTGGTGGGCCGACATGGCTCAGGAGGGCTCGAGCGGTCCGCCGCTGACAGAGGAGTTGGTGAGGCGGCAGGGGGGTGTGCGTGTGGAGCAGCGGGAGACGATGCAGGCCACTGTCGAGCGGATGTGGCGGTTTTTGGAGTGGCTGGGGGGGCGGGAGGAGGAATGGGTGGTGCTAATTTGTCATGGAGATATCATCCATATCATGACGGACGAGCACTTCGGCAACTGCCAGCATGATACGTACGAGTATGCTGAGCTGTGCAGGACGGTCAAGTACAAGAGAGGGCAGTTTGCAGAGGCAGACGAGGCCGTGAGGGGCTCGTAGGGGGGAGGCAGCGACACATGCATTAACTAAGTGCATGATGGATGGATGGACAATCAGCCGGTGTATCCGGTCTCGTTTGATTTGAAGAGCTTTAGTGCCACATGGCATGGTGGGAGTCATAGTCATAGTCATGATGCATGCACTGACTGGTGTGACATGTGGCATGTGTGTGGTGTATGGGGTTGAGAGGCCAGAGGAGCGATCGATTTGACACTCATCTGGTGAGTTGGCCCATCGCAGTGCGTCGGTGTAGCAGGCAGAGGTGCTGCTCGGCCATGTGCACATGCCGCACAGGGAGCTCACAAACACCACCTGCGAATGAAAACGGGCTGGATTGAGTGGGGTATTCTGCAGATGGACGGGCAAACGTCCTATCTGTCAGCTTCATCCCTTCCTTTGTCGCTTCTGTCTGTGCGCGGCTGTGTGATGCATCGAGAGTCAGACACACGGACACACACAGTGGGGTGGGCCATATGTATAATGATTGGCTGAAACCAATCGTCCATCACGTGAAAAAGCACATGCATCATCCTACCTACAATGCCACACTGTGTGTCTACCTGCCTCTTCTCACATCGTGCGTCCGCAGGTCTGTCTGTGTGCATCAGACGCCTGCCCTTGACGCACTGCCGAGCCCACGTGTGTGTGGACCACCGGCAACACCTCAATGACCGGCGTGCAATGCAACGCACAAGAACAGACCCATCGACGCTGACATTCCACCGCCCATCCCCTTTAGTCACCCGAAGAATGAGCTCTGTGATGACTCCAGCTTCTTGATGCCCTGCAGTGCACTCATGACGACCTCCGCGTTGGTCTCCACCACCATGCCGCCCATCACAATCTCATCCAGTATGTAATTCACCTGCACACACACACACACACACACAAAGGGAGTGTCACACACGCTGCAATACCCTTCATCTCTCTCATTGATTGCTTGGTTACTTTGTCGAAGTGGTAGATGAGGTCCAGCTCACAGACGTTCTCGAAGCACGAATCCAGCACCTGCACAAACACCTGCACACGCGGAGAGGAGGGAAAGACAGAGAGGCCGATACAAGAATGCAGCGCCACGATCCTTCACGTATTATGCAGTGTGTGGGTGTGGTGGGTGTTTCCCTGACTGACCTGGATGAGGTCGAGTATGCCGAGTTCGCTCTCAGCGCTGTCAACCACAAACACAAAGTAAAGCGTCGCGAAGTGCCTGCACGTCACACACACACACATGGGCAGACAGGCGTCAAGCGAACTACGGTGATGCTGCGGCTCCATCATGCATACCTGTAGATGATTTTGTGGTCGTCTCCGAAGAGTTCCCTGTCTTCTGCGAAGCAGCAGCAGAGGTCGTCGGACCTCCGCGACACGATGTTGTACACCGTCTTGAGCACATGCTGCTGCCGCTCGTGGGGCTGAACACGGGATCCATGAATCAACCGCACTCGCTCGTGTCAGACCGGCACCATCCCATCTCTCTCTTGTGTGTCGTGGGTGCTCACCGTGCCGTCGTAGAACCTCATGAGTCTTGGTTTGCCCTGATTGTTGACCACGATGATGCACCGAATCATCGTATCGTCAAGGGATGGACACGGGTCAGATGTGAAAAGCCGAGATCTTTCTTTTCTGCAGCAGACACAGCCCTCGCCCTTTCGTTCTTCGCCGCTACTCTCTTGTCGCGCAACGCGAAAGGCGATCGCCGCTTTTGCTGAGCTCGGAGCGGATCTTCCATCCCGAGCTTTGTGCCACGCAAGTGTCTAGCAGGATGCATTCCGCTGCACTGCTACTGCTTTACTGCATTGCTGCCGCTTTCGGCAGCAGCGAGATTGGCAGTGATGGGATGCTCAAGGCTGCTGCAGGAGTTGACACATCCATGCCGATGACGTCCTTTTCGTCGCTAGAGGATGTGTTTGAGCAGCACATCCCAGAGAAGGAGCGAACACAGGTCATGAGGGTGCTCTACGGCAAGGGCAGGTGAGATGAATGGACCAACGAAATGGTGACGGCGATCTTGCTGCGCTGCATGAGTGTGCTGTTGTAGAGGGGCGCTGGAGGTGGCTGATGATGTGGTCGAGTTGGCCGACGCCAACAACTTTCAGGTCAAGCTCGAGTCCATGGTCAACCTCACCGCACAGGAAGAGGTAACACACAGACAGAGAGACAGACAGACGCTCATGCAGACAGTCAGGCAGGCGCACCGTTTGTCTGCCTGTGTGCTCTGTCTGTGTGTCTGTGTGTCAGATGCGCGCCCCTCGTGTGGTGAGGATAGCGGTGGTGCAGAACTCCATCGCCCTGCCAACCACAGACCCCATCTCTGAGCAGTACCAGGTGGGCACACCACACCACACCACACCACACGACACCGGAAGTCATCTCTTCTTTGCGTGTGTCTGTCGTGTGGGCGTCAGGCGCTGGTTGACAAGATCGAGAAGATGATCGATGCGGCCGGTATGATGGGGGTCAACGTGTTGGCGCTGCAGGAGGCGTGGCCGATGCCCTTCGCCTTCTGCACGCGCGAGAAGCACAGGTGGATGGAGTTCGCCGAGTCGGCCGAGTCGGGCCCCTCGACGCAATTTCTCAAACACAAGGCCAAGCAGTACAACATGGTCATCATCAACCCCATACTCGAGAGGGACGAAGGTGGGTGCGGCGCTTACACGCACCGTGCACAAGCCACTTTGTCCGTGTGTGTGTGTGTGTGTGTGTTGGTGGCAGCGCACCAGGACCGGATATGGAACACGGCTGTGGTGATAGGCAACAACGGCAACTACATCGGCAAGCACCGCAAGAACCACATACCACGAGTGGGCGACTTCAACGAGGCCACCTACTACCTAGAGGGTACGCGGGGTACCCAAACTCGCAAGGCAGACAGGCAGACGCACAGGGTGGGCGGCCTCCCTGAGGCGTTGGTGTCTTGTGCGCTCAGGCGACACCGGCCATCCTGTCTTCGAGACCGTCTACGGCAAGTAAGCAGCCGCAGCCAGCATCAGTGGCTGCGCGGTGTGTGCGAGTGTATCTGTGGTCGTGTGTTGGTGCGGTTGGCGTTGGTCCACCGATCATCGCTTCAGGATAGCGGTCAACATCTGCTACGGGCGGCACCATCCCCTCAACTGGATGGCCTTCGCCATGAACGGGGCCGAGATCATCTTCAACCCATCCGCAACGGCAAGACACACACACACACATCACACACAACCACTACCACATGCATCCATCTCTATCTCTCTCTCTCTGTGTGTGTGTGTGTGTCCGATCAGGTGGGTGAGTTGTCCGAGCCGATGTGGCCAATAGAGGCCCGCAACGCCGCCATCGCCAACACGGTCTTTGTGGCCGCCAACAACCGAGTCGGCACAGAGGTGTTCCCCAATGAGTTCACTTCAGCCGACGGGAAGAAGGCACACAAAGACTTCGGTAATGTCGCAGGCAGACAGACAGACAGACAGAGAGTAGCTCATCAGCCGACGTGTGTATGTGTGGTCACGTCAGGTCACTTTTACGGGTCTAGCTACGTGGCTGCCCCCGATGCGTCGAGGTCATCCTCGTTGTCCCGGCTGCGCGACGGAATCCTGGCAGTCGACATCGACCTCAACCTCATCAGACAGGTGGGCAACGAAACTCGAGCCGACATTGCCCCACCCACACACGCACGCGGCCTTGTGTGTGTGGTCTCACTGGTCGTCTCGTCAGGTTCGGGATAGGTGGATGTTTCAGAACACGGCTCGGTACGAGATGTACGCGCAGCTCCTCAACCAGTACATCAGACACGACTTCAAAGTCAGCGGCCAGCGCACACACAGACAAGACAAGGAAAGGAGTGCATCCGTGTGTATCGCATCGGTAGCCTTTCTGTCTGTGTGGGGATTGATTTGATGCCTGCAGCCCGAGTTGGTCCGCGACCCGGCTCTGGATGACGCCAGGTTACCCTCCAGCACGGCAGCCATACCGCTGTCCACCTGCACGGCCGACTACTGCACAGCTAAGTGACACAAGTGCTGGAGGGGCGGCTGGGCGGCGGGATGCGTCTGCTTGCGCCGTGGGCTCGTTTGTTTATTGAGAGGTTTATAGCGGTCTGGTGGTCTGTCGGTGGTCGATGTGCGTGGCATGGATATCATCGGCTGCGCCTTTTTGCGCAGCGGCCAAACCTGTAGGTACCGAATCTGTAGTACCTGTAGCTAGCCTGTGCAGTGCAAGGCGTGTGTATATGAGCTGCACAGGCATGGAGATATCAATTGCTGACATGACTGATAGCTACTGGCTCATATGGTGCAATCGTGGGGGACGGAATGGTTCATTCAGACACACGCTTCGCCCTGATTGTGCATCACTGCCGTGTTATGTATCGTCTCTTATCTATGCCGTGGCGTGTCGGTGTCTCCTGCGTGTGGCCGCCCCGTTCTTGCCCTGATTTGGCGAGGCTGCCTCACAGTAGCTACAAATCGAGAGAAATCGACAAATTGGATATCTGGATGTGAACGGACAATCAGATGGCTCTGTGGCTTTTCACTTCGTCCAACAAACCAATGCAGAGCACATGTCTTCCCCCCAACACGCGAACCTCTGTCTTCGAGAGACGCCCATGCAAGCAACCAAGGTGACCAGACGGCACGCAGACACTGAGGCACGTCACACGGCCTATCCCAATGGTGCTATCAGACGCACCGACACACAGCCTAGAAGACCAATCCACCCACCCGCAATCCCCACCACACAGCTTTGACGATTCCTCTACTGCTTGTATTTCTCGATGGCCTTTCTCATTTTGGGCTTCTCGGCAGCGATCTCCCATGGCGTCACACCCTGTTGTCATGACATCGCATCACGCAAAGGAATCGGTGACAGACAGACGTGTGAGGACTTACTTCGTCGTTTTTGATGTCCAGCAGCTGCGCACCGCCCCACTCCAGCAGCTGAGCCGCAGCAGCTGTGGCGAAGGGCCGGCCAGCAGCCAGGTGCAGTGGCGTGTCTCCCATCTGACGTATCAAACATACAACAAAGACATTCTGTGTTTTTTCCATCCCCCTGTGTGTGTGTCCCTTCTGTATTTTTTCAATCCCCCTGTGTGTGTGTCTCACGTGGTCCGTCTCTGTGAGGAGGGCGTTGCCTTTGATGGCGTGGATGGCCACCATCGCGTCAACAGCACCATTGTGAGCAGCCTTGTGGGATGCTGTCCGCTTGATCTACATTTGATATGCATACAATCGACACACGACAGGCCATCAGAGGCATGTGTGTTCTCGTACATTGTCGCGTGCGTCTGTCAGAATAGGGGGGAGAGAGTCGGGGAGAATGGTGAAGAGAGGATCTGCCGGGCGGTCAGTCCCGGATAAAGGATTAAGTCAATGCAACGTAAGGTCTGTGGATTTTGTGGAGAGTCCACGTAGGACATGTAGTAT